ACTCTGAAACCTTGAATTTTGGAGGAATAATCATATCTGGGACTAAATAGAGTCCAGTAGCATCCACTGAACCATAAAAACCAACTCTTTCCATTACTCGCAACCTTTCCTGTAACAAGTTCATCTTTTGTTCAATTTTTGAAGCTTTAAAGTCTCATTCTCCTTGGGCCTCAACTTTTTTTTCTCTTATGAATCATCTAAGTTAAGAACTGGTATTGGTTCTACTACCTTCTCGATAAAGATAAGATTTACATAACTCTAATACTGCATTGGATTTGAAGTTGATGGCATTTCAAGGTATGTATACCTTACAGGGTAGATGAACTGCTGTGATGGTGGATCTTGTGTTGGTTGGGCTTGATGTGACCCAAAACTAGGTGGGTATAGTAGGTCATCCACCTCTTGTGAGGGATGGTCTTATTGGCTAGTATTTTTTTCTATATTTTTTCTTTTGTTTAATTTGTTTAAAACCTCTAAAATCTTATTCAACTCTCCTTCTAGCTTCTCTTGAGCTTTCTCTATCCTCTCAAAATGATTAAAATTTTCTTGTTCCATCTGTCTGGCTCTTTGTGTTATATTAGTGAGTGGGGTTCTTGATTGGTGAAACTATCCTTGAACCTTGAGCACCAGAATTATGATAAGAAATGCTGTGCTTTATTCATGATTTGTTGATGCATGAATGAAATGTACATTTTTATGGATGAAATAAAAAATAATACAGATGTAGAATGTTACATATGACAATGAAAATGATGCATGATATGGTAATGCAAATGTACAAAGTCAAACAAACAAAATAGTTAGATCACAAACTATTCTTTTTTGTGTCCTAACTTCAGGTTACATCATCACTGGGTAGGAAGGGCTCTATCTTAGGGTTGGACTCTTAGATGTTAATTATATGCAAGGTTAGGTGACTTTGACCACTAAAGGTTTCCAAATTGTTATATCATTGTCCATCACAAACTAGTAAGGCAGTCCAATCCTCACCCACCACAGGCTACCAACAGAAAAGATTCAATTTGAGTAGGAATATCTCGCTAGCCATTACAGAAATTATCATCTCACGAGAGCGCAGGTACTTTACTCCCTCCTAAGAGAGACAGAGCCTAGTTATAAAGCTCATGTAATGTAAATACAAGTGATAGTGTGTAAAGGAACATATAGTTATCATGCCCTAAAAATAAATGACAAAAATGACAAAAATGTTGGCAAACAAATAACATAAATCATTACAATTTAAAACTATTAAACCAAAGGATAGGATAAATTTAAAAGTTTATGGCTTGACTCTTTATAGTTGTCCCCAGTGGAGTAGCCAAAACTGTCATAACATATAGATACGTAAATCTATAGCTAGACTTAACAAATGGAGTCACCATCAATCTTTTACTAGGTGTGATTGGTCACCTAAGGAATCTATCCTTTTAACAAGCTCTTAAGCTTGACTAAGGGTTCCTAAAAGAATAAGTTCAGGTCTACAAACCAAAATAGAGTTCGAGAGTTTAATTATATGTGGGAAAAGTTATAGCACCCTCACATACCCATCCAAAGGATAATATTATATTATTTTAAATTTATCATAGGGTTTTAAATCTAATGGTTTCAAATTTTTATGTTAAATGTTGAAAATAATTTTTAAGATTCTCCATCGATCTTGTATAACTCTTAAAAAATGTTTTCTCATCTCAAGGGTATTCAAGAATCCCATTTGATATCTTCAAGAGGCTCCGTCGTTAAAAATTGTTTAAATATTTATTTACTTTTGTTGAAAATATATCTAATTATTTCACCATTTGGTCCAAATTAGAAATATTTTCTTTTTTTGAATTTCTAAATTTTTCACAATTTGGGCCTATTTAAAAATTCTCTTTATTTCTCTTTTTTTTTTGGAATTTTTAAAATTTTCACCATTTGGGCCCATTTAAAAATTCTTTTATTTCTCTTTTTTTAAAGAAAATAGTATGATAATTATTTTAATTGAAATTTTATTTAAATTATTTTACCATTTTGGACAAATTTAAAGAAAATTTCTTACCTAGAGATTTATTAGAATTTTACCATTTGAAATTTTCAATAATCCCATTATTAGATAATTATCAAATATTTTCAACCCAAATTTTATTTTTTTATTTTTTATTTTTTTTATTGAAAATAAATATTAATTATTGTTATTGAAATTTTATCCACATTATTCAACCATTTAGGATAAATTTAGACAAAATCTCTCACTTAGGAATTTTATAAAAATTTATCATTTGAAATTTTTATAAATTTCATTACTGGATAATTAATATTTTTCTCAAATTTATTTTTTTTAATTTTTAATTTTTTCTAAATTTAATCATGAAAGAAAAAAATACTAAGGAAAAAAATACTAAGAAAAATACTAACTAAAATAAAAAAAAAAAATACCAAAGAAAAACTAAAAATGGCTCAGTAGGCGATTGGAATTTGACTCGGCTACAGGCAAAGCAACGGCTCGAAACACAACTCAGGGAAAAATCGGCTCGGTTCAGCAGCAGAGTCTGTAGAGTGAATTAAAGTGGGTTAGCGATACGGGTCAAATCACTTGAATGGAAGCGCGGGGATCCTGGTTCTTCTTAAATGCCAAAACAACGTAGTTTTGCAGTAGTATAAAAGGCTAATTCTCAGCTTTTTACTTCAGATCTCCCCTTTCCCTTCTCTCTTTACCCCTTTCTTTTCTTTAACTTCTTTTTAGAAATCAGATGAACTCCGATTGAATATCAATTAGATTCTTAAAAAAGTCATTAGAATCTGGGTTGGTTCATCGAACGGTCATTGAAAAATTCAATCAACGTTGGAATTTGTGTCGAATTCTAAGAAACCTGCCAAAAAGTTCAACCGGTGGTAAAAAACTCGTCTAAAAATTCAACCAATGCCAAAAAATTTAACCGAAATTTGAAAATTTTTTAGAAAACTTTTTTCAAAAGACTCTAAAATTTTTTTTTTATCTCTGCTTGCTTTGATTCTCTGTGTCTGTGTTTTTATTTTTTCCACTCTGTGTGCTTTTCGTTTGATTCAGAGCTGAATTTATAAGAACAATCAGAAGAAGTTTTGATTAATTACGATTCCTTTGTTGACATTTATCTGTTTAGAAATTGAACCCAACTGCAACTCTGCCAATGCTATTCACGGTAGAATTTGCACAAAATTCTATCTGTTATCTCCTAAAAAATTAATGATAAGTCCAAAAATAAAAAAACAGATAAATCAAAAAAATCGAAGATAAATAAAAATAAATGAATAATAAGCTTGAAAATAAAACAAAAAAAATAAAAAAAAATGATCAATTGGATTAGATAGGCTTAATTAATTTAGGCTTAAGCTCAGATCCTATTAAACCAAACTTAATGGGCTTGGATTTGGACTAATTAGGATATCTACACCTTCTTTTATCGATTATAAAGAAATGGTTTCAAGGCCTACCTCCTATAAGCAGCTAAAATAGTTAAGGAAGCAAGGAATAGCAACTCTCCAATAACCTTATGCTACAAACCTGGGAGTTTCATTCCAAGTTTCCTCAATCAATTTTATACATTCTGCATTCAGAAGCCATTGTTGATCCATTATTACTATGACTGCTACTAGTAAGGATAGTATGTGTGTTCGATATGCCAAAGAATTCAACCTTTAACCAGCAAGTCTAATATAACATATCATAAATTTGGAAAAAACCAAAAACTTAGCAAAGCTTCAGCTCATTTCATAATAAACCATTTAAATTATAGCCTTTCAATGAAAATTTGTTAAAAATATTTAATGATTAAAAGCTACTTAATGTATTCCATCAATCTTATTTAAGCAAACAAAATTCATTTAATGACATTAACCTCACATTCTTCCCTTTTTCACTATTTAATTTCCTTTTTTATCTTTCATTATTGTAAAATACTAAAAAAATTAAAAAAAAATTCTGTTTAGCATTTAAAACTTCAATAAACTTCAGGGTCCATCATTTTCAAAGGGAATGACAGACACAATAATATGAACGAGTTTTTTCTTATAAGAAAGTACTTTTTAATTTTATTTCTTTAATAAAAGTATTTTTAAATTTTTACTAAGAGTACTTTTAATCTTTTTTTTCTTTAAGGGAGTACTTTTAATAAAAGTAGAACAAAGATTATTTTTGCTCAATTGAAATAAAGAAAAACTGACATGAAATGAAATGCTGCCATCCAATCCAATTAAATCAAAACACTTTTGTTTAGGAATAAAGTTTAAAAGTACCTTGGTTAAGTAAATAAATTTAAAAATATTTTAGTTTTAGAAAAAACTCCATCATGAACCACAAATTTCCAATCTTATAACTGTTTACTTGTCCAACCTGTTAAAATTCTAAGACAAAAAAATCCAAAATAAAATGAAATCAAGATTGTTTTCCTAAAACTAAGTTTCCGTAAGAGTTGACGAGGAAGTAATTTTGCAGAAGAGTTTAAGAATACCCAAATCCACAAAATCCATACACTAAAAATCTCTATTTCCATGTCCATAGACTACAATTAATTCTCAACAATTTTTAACTGCAATTTCCAAGACAAAAATGAAAAATTCATAGTTTAGGGCTTGCTGATTTGTGCTTATAAAATCGTTATGAGAAAATTAAAAAAATTTTAAAGGAGTTTTTAGATTTTCATTTAAGCAAATTAATTCTAGAAAGATAAAAGTTGTGGACTGAAGAGAATTTAAATATGTAATATCTTCAAGTTACGTAGATAAAAACTATGAGTTAAAAGTAAATTAAGAATTAAAAAACAATTTTAAAAATATATATAAATATATAAATATAAATATATATATATATATATATATATATCTATAGGTCGCATGTTGTATTTAGGGATCCGACAGAGTAAATAAGTTGTCCGGTTATAATCTTAAAAAACGTGTGAGAGGATTGTCTGTGATTCCCTTTGAGACTAACAGATTTCAGCAAAGGATTTCCAACTATCAAACCAATCATGTTTATAGTTAAGATTCAATACTTAAATTTTTTAATTAGAAATTGAGTGCTTAATTTTTCAATGACATTTTTTCAGTTGCCCAACAACAGTCTTGCTTTTAACTTTTTGCACTCCCATGTCAAATTGAAAAACACCAAAAAGAAAAGAAAAAGAGAAGAGACAAAGGTAGGAGAGAAAAGAAAGAAAATAAAGCGTAGCATTTCAAAAGAACACATTATTTTAGAGGAAACAAGCTGCTATATATGCATAATTAAAGGACTAATGCAGAGCAAGCTGCTCTGTCTTAATTATTAATTCATAGATGAGAGCTCCATCAGTGGCTCAAACTCAAAATATTAGATAGGCATTGGCATTATTGTTGGTGGCATGGTTTTGGCCCTAACTTCCATTGCTCAAAAGTTCCTTCTACAAAGTCATAGTAACCTCCCCTCAATGTCATAATTCCATTTTCCACTGCATTTCTCACATATGGATATGTCAGTAGATTTGCCATCGAGTTCTTCACTGATTCCTACATCATCATAAATCACAATTAATTACTGAATGTGTTTTCTGTTGAACTACTGTTTGCTTTGAACATACCGATATTTTTTATTATCGAAACAAGTTGGGCCTGGCAGCTAGCTTACCTTTTCACACAGCTTGATTTGTTCTTCTAATGGCAGATCGTAAGCCTCTTCCAAGACCTTTCTCTTAGCTGGCAAACCAATTTTTACCCAGTCATCTATGAAGTCACTGCACAATTCAAATACGGTTCAAGTGATGAGAAAACATTCTTCAACTTTTATCTGACAAATTAATGGTGGGATTTTCACAATAATCTGTGGAGTTCGTAGCCTTACTAAGTATGATTGTGAGAGCAATGTTCATCTGGAAGATCCATAAGCCTCTGTATCCCACCACAAAGACTATGTCCAATGATGAGGATGTTTTCTACCTGTAAGCGTCGTTTTCTTCCTTTATTACACGTTATTTTCTCTACCATGTAAAATGAGGAACAAAACTTGGGGGAGAGGCGACAAAGTAAAAGAGAAATGAGAGTAAAAGTTTTAAGTCTAAGATTAATTTGATGATAAATATAGAATATTTCACCTGAAGAGCTGTAACAGCATACTCGATGACCGCACCAGTTTCAGTGTGTCTCAACTGTGCAATAAGCAATAAACAATAATTTATCTTTTGTTAATTGATAGGATTTATTTGTTTAAATGAGAATTTAGTGATGATTTTGAGTGGGAGATATAATATCTTTGATTTATAAATTAGGTAAAAAATAATTAAAAAGTTTGACGAATTAACCTGGTCAAATGGAGGAACCATATTAGCAATATTGCGGGAAACGAAGGCTTCGCCTAGCTTGAAATTCAAAATAATGGAGGGGCTGACTCGGGAATCCGAGCAGGCAAAGACCAAAAACTGAACAATGAATTAACAGCAGATTAGCACATTCATCTTGATTAATCATTGTTGAATTACAGAAATTAAAGAACTTCATGAAATTCCATCGCGCAATTCCTAGGCTGGAAACCATTGTTATTGAAGGTGAAGGTACCTTCGGGTGCTGGCCTTTCGCAAGTTCATGGAAAATTTCTGGATATTTGCTGCAAAAGGAAAAAAGGAAATTGGCTATTCAATCAAGAATCTAGCTAGGTGGATATTTTGTATAGGTATAATTGGACCAAAAGTCAATGCTTCAACACCATTAATTGCTTAAAAAATGAATGCTATAGAGTGAGACAAGGATCAATATATTAACGGTCGAAGTTCAACATGTCTTACTCAAATAAGTTGTTCTTGAAGAACTGGAAGCCATCCTCAAGCCTTTGAGCATCTTGATCAGGAGAAAGAGGCCTCCCTTGGAGCTCGGCAATAAGCTTCTTATCTTTTTCTTGAACCTCCTCATCCATCCCTTCTTCCTCACTGCAACCAACATATACAAGAATTGACCGATCCTCATCACAATATATGGGATACATGAAGATAAGAAATGTAAGATTATTAAAGCTTGAACAGTCTGTGGTCGAAAACAATCATGGCTTTTTCGGATTCAATATAACAAAAGGTCTCCTTAAATCTTCCTGGCAAAATCTACAAAATTAATTCAATTGGTCACAACAAATTAAAATTGGACTATACACTGGTTAGAGAAAGTATGTACATGAGTATCTTCTTCAGTCCTTCAACAACCACTTCAGCAGATTGCTTTGCCATTGGCACGCCCTCTTTTCTGCAAATTCATAAAATTTTTAGGGTTCGTAAATATTAGTAAGCATGAATATATATCAACTCAACCCTGCGGCTATAAAGTCATAAAGTTTGGACCATGAGAAATGAACATGCAAGGAATATGTGCATAGTAATTGGAACATAATATCCATCAACAAATTAAAGCTCAACAACCTAACTAAAAAACCACAAGAAAACAGGTTTTTAGCTATGAAAATTTTCGATTGCCAAAATAAATCATTACTGATGAATTTTTTGTAGAATACTGATGGATTTTTGTGAATTGGATTTTTATTATCGACAAAAGACTTTTTGTGTTTTTATTTTTCCAATGGAAAATTTTTCTACTAAAAATTCAGTAAAAATCACTAATGCCTTGAATGAAATCTTCCTTTAAAATTTATCTATAAATCATTGATATTTATGAAATTGACGCCTGCATGCACATTTAATTTTTTTCTTCTCAAAACCAATAAACCAACTAACCTTTTCTAAGGAGCTTAGCTTTGAACTTTTACGAGGAAATTGGATGAAATTTCTGAACACAATATATATGGCTAACACGTATAGAGATAACAGATACAACGATTCATATCATTCAAGCAGGTTCAAGCAGCATTTTATAGGGTGAGATTAGGCTTTCTAGAGGATGGTCCCTTAACAAATGAGAACGTTTCTCTTGCTAAAAATGACTATAACATGATTTTAGACTATAGCATCAAGACAATTTTTTTTAGCTAGCAAAAACTAGCACGTCTCTCCCTTATTTCAATTCTTTGTTTCTAGGTTGTTGATCAAAGAAATTATTCTCTATGTCCAATTGTCTCTAGGGATGTTAAGGATGTCAAAATGGGTAAGATATGAGTATATAAAGTATTTTTTATTTCCATTCTCTATTTTTTATATTATACTTATTTTTGTATTTATATTTAATGAATATTTTAAATTTATCTCAATTCACATTTTTGCAAAAAATGAAGAAGTATGGAAAATTTTATACTTGTAACTCTTCAAAAAAAAAATCATTTTTTTAGTTTTTTTATTTTAATCTTGTACATATATTAATTTTTTATAAATATATTAGATCTAAGTAATCTAGAATAAAAATTTATATTACAAAATAAAAATTTATTTGTTAAATATATAAAAATATATAAGGTACCGATATAGATTAGGTACTATATTATCTATCACTATTAATGTACCTAATAAAAGTTTAAAATCATAATCATCTTAATCTCCACTCCAAAATTTAATACCCATCCACATCCTCATTTGGGTAAAAAAATCATATTTTTTTTATTGGATTTAGATAAAATAGATATTTCTAATTGTCTTTCCATTTTCTAAACCTATATATTAATTTAATTACTCTTAATCTGTAATTGTTCTGAATTAATATTCCAAGCACCTTTGATTATCATTTTGACAAATGTCTGACCCACTAAAGTAATACATATCTCTTTGAATTAAGGCATATAAATGAATCTGGTTAAGGTTGGTCAGCCTTTTTCATCATTCTTGTAGGAGGTGGACTTGGCTTTTGGTTTTTTGGATTAAGCTTTTTCTCATTGTTGTTTTGTGTGTGAGTGAGGTAGACATGGCTTTTAATTTGTTGCAATGACTCAAGCTTCTCATCCATTCAAAATTATTGTCGTATTCATCTATATATATATATATATATAGAGAGAGAGAGAGAGAGAGAGAGAGAGAAAGAGAGAGAGAATGAAAGATATGTTGATCGTCTAGTTTGGATCAAAATGAATCTTTGAAAACTAATCAAAGCTGTAATATTTAGACCTTGTTGCCCAAGCTTTCATGGAGACTCTATATATAAATCGAATATGAATTAGTAGTTATTGATTATCGTGAGTTTGACTCTTTCAAATAGAACTTTGAAGATATATGTACTTATACATATTATAATTAATGTGAAGGGTAATAATTTGATTTTTCAGAAAATTCACATATAATAAAAGTTGAAGCTAAGATAAAAAAAGTTATAAGAACTTCTTAATTTTTTAAATCTAATAATAGTTTCAAAACTAAATTAGTTACAATGATAGGAGAGAGAAGCTGTAATGATGAATTTAATTACGAACAATATTTTTTATATATATAAAATTTAAGCCTAATTCAAACAAGACATCAGAATCAGATCAAATCATAATTGACAGTAACAAGTTAATTATTGAGAATAGGTGGATCAATTTGAAAATGGAGAGATTATTAGAGAAGGTTGAAAAAGGAAAAGTGAAGTGCTTGTGATATTAAAACGTGTTTTACTCGTGTTTGGTAGGAAAAACGTTTTCAAAAACCGTATTCACTGCATTCGAAGCCTAAATTCAATCCTTATAATAAGAGGGATGTAGCCTTGAACCACTGTTAATTTGAAAGTTTTAAATTTCATTTTTGTTTTTGAGATAAAGATGTCTAACTATTATTATATAATCCATCGTTGATCATATTCATATCATAATTTTTAAAAACTAAAATTGGATATTCAATTTTGTACCAATTCTTGGTAATCATATGATAATTTTAAAAGATATCTAAAATTTGAATCACATACATTTAATATTAAAAAAAATAAATAAGAGAATAAAAATAATATAAAATATTTGATTTTTAGATATAAAAAATATATTTTTAAAAGTAATTATGCTTCTAAAATATAACAAGGCTTCAAAACTCTCCAGTAAAAAATAGTTAAAATAATTATACTAAAAAAATTATTTATAATAAATATACTAAAAAAATTATTTCTAATAAATAAACAGATGTAAGCTTCTATTCAAGTGATTATTATTATTTTTTTGTATTATCATTTCCTTTATAAATAATAATTTATTTGTATTCAAATAATTATGACTATTTATCGTATGATAATTATTTCTATTTAAACATAATTATTCAAAATATAAATAAAAAAATTAATTTTATTCATCAATAATCAAAATTTTCTATCTAATGTGAAATACACCATATTCTAAACCACCAATAATCTCCCATTAGTTTAAAATGTTGGCGTTTAATTTTTAACATTTCACATAAATAAATATTATGAATACAAGAAGATATCTCTTTATTAAAACTTTCAATTAGCATTTATATCTAATAATTCTAATGAAATTAATGGTGTTCGCAAATTAAACCTAAACTCTTAGTATTAGAATTGAAGGTATAATACAAATAATACTTATTTATTCTTCTGTTAGAGATTTATAACCGCTTTAGCACTATTATGGCCATATGCTTATCCTTTTTATAAACATGTACAAAAAAAACCCTAATTCTTATTGTTGAAGTTGCATCACTTCTATGTTTATATAGGTAGAGTTTTCATTATGTCTTAGTTACTTTAGACATTTAAACAATAAACTCCATTAAAAGTATAAAAACTCATCTTCTCCATGTAATGGATTAGACTAGTTTCTAAAATTTAAATGGATTTTACTAATGCTTAATAGACATATAATAATAATTTGTTTTTACCGATTAAACTTTGTAATTAGAGGTTACTAATTCAAAGTTAGGTTCCCATTATTGGTGTCTAATAATAAGGGTTTAAATCCATTTTACTTATAGTACTACTAACAAAATATTTGGGAATTTATTTTCTTTTATGGTAATTAGCCCCATTTGAAATTAAAACTCTAATACAATTACTTCAGGTTAATATGTCCAAACTTGTAATTTTGTATATTTTTTATATGCTCTAGACATTATTCTCTCATTCTTATCATTTTAAGAAATAGATGGCATCGGTTGTGGGTACAACTCTATACTAATTAATATAAATTTCAGCCATTCTATTTTTACATTTTTATCTATTTTAATACAATTATTCGTCTAGTATAATTGGATAAATTTAATGAATAAATCAAGCCATTTTAGTCCTTTTAAGATATGTAATAACCTTTTATGATTACTTTAATAAGTTGTGCTAAACTTATTAGATTGTATAATTTCCTCATAAAACTATACTAAAATCTAACAACACTATGGTAACCATTTTTATTTCTTTCAATTCTTATCACATCCACCATGTTCAAATTTGTATTCTTTTATTAAATAATATCCCATTTAGTTATCAAGATATCATATATACTTAATCTAATTGCCCATTTATTTATCTTTTCACTATTTGGTGGTTATTTTTGTTTAAGTAAGAAGCCTCAAAATCTACTCTTAATGAAAGACAGCTAGAAAATATCTATATCTTAATATTTTCTTTTCATAAAAGTTTTAAAACTTTTATTTCAACAAAATATTGGAGTACGCATCAATAAGTATAATACCAAATATAATCACCCTTAAAACTAGTAAATTCATGCTTTCTATAGTTTCTTTTTGAAACTTTAATTCCAACTCTTGCATACTTAAAAATTATTTGATTATGGACACTAAAGTCATATCCACCTCGGTTCATGTTATTAAAAATAGTCAAAATTCATATATAACTACACAATAGTATAAATTTTATGTCCAAATTATAAAATACATGAAATTTTTTTCACCCAACAAATAGAAAGCATTTTAACTAGTTACAAAGAATTATATAACTTCTCCAACTGAATTATAGTTATCTTAGATAATATGTTTATTTCTTGTTGAACTAATATTATATAAATCAAATAATATGAATTATGCATTATTCTCTTGTCAATAAAATGCAATCATGGAATATGGACCATAAAATAGGATTTTATGATAAGAACATATATAATTTTTAATTTTTTGAAAAGATTTATAAATTCACAGTTTCTTTTATGCATTAAAATAATTCTTGAAAATTTTATCGTTTTGATTTGATAAACATGATATTTCCAAAATATAACAAGGTTATAAAAGATTTATAACCAAAGCTCGCAAATGCTCCATGTCCATTTTATGCTCATAACTATTCAATGCCATGATCAAGAAAATCCACATATAACATACCATAAAATCATGAATCATCCAGATTAGATCGAGACTTAAAAATTAATTTCTCCAAAAGTTGCTTAATTGGGGTGAATATTTATCAACATGCACTGCAAAATTGGGCTAATGCAATTAATTGTAGAACAGATCAAATCCCTTCCAAATACTTAGGTCTACCATTAGGTGCTAGTCCAAATTCTCTCTCCACTTGGCAATCAGTCATTGACAAAGTATGGGACAAGCTCGTTTTTTGGAAAAATCAGTATCTTCGATTGCCGGAGGAATCACACGCATAAAATCAAAGCTTACAAGTCTGCCCTTAATACTTCATGTCCCTTTTTCCAAATCTCTTCTAGTGTCAAGAACGATCTTGACAAAATCCATAGGATTTTTTTTGTAGTCCGGTGTTATAAAGAACAAAATACACATGGTCAAATGGGCCATAGTCTGTAAAGGAAAAGAGTTTGGTGGCCTTGGTATTCCTGAACTTAAATTGAAAAATAAGAGTTTACTTAATAAATGGATCTAGCAATATGCTAATGAATCAAAATCTCTTTGGTGAAGGGTTATTTCTGTAAAAAAATGATGTTGACCCTTTTATCTTACTTTCCTCCACCACGGTAAGGAAGTGTTCTCTTATTTGGTCTCATATTGCATAACCATTACAATCCAATAATCAATTTCATTCTATTATCTCCTCTAATATTGGCTTCTTTCTTGGTCGTGGTTTCAATATCAAATT